AAACTAAATTTGGAGGCCTTTGGGCCCATTTCTCGATTTTCGTGTACACTAGGTGTATACTAGTGTATACAGTACAGATACTTGTAAGTCAATGTCAAGGACCCGTTCTTCAATTTTTCCAGGTTGGCTGACTCGATAAAGGATTTCTTGGGCCTTCGTGGCTCAAAATGAAATGCATCGGAGAAATGGAGGAGTCCAATTGACTCACTTAACGGGATACACATGCAAACACAAAAGAAATATAAGAGAATTAGTGCAATCCATTCATTATAGAAAGCATAAAATATAGATAAGATCAGCAAATTGGATAGACACATAATTATTATTTCAAGCCTTAAACATCACAAGGAAAATGAAATATCATACGGAATTGACCCCGATAAAGAACCCATTTCATGCGAAACATATCAAAATAATGGTAGACAAACAAACAACTAAAAATTAATGTTACCAAATTTGAAAACTAAACATTGATTCTTTAAACACATCTTCACATAACCTAATTAATTTAGGCCATTCGAAGAGCAAACGGAAAAATGGGACAAGTAGCACAAGAAAATTTCCACAATACTATATGTTAAAGGATCTGAATAGTTAGAAAACTTTGAATAATTGACAAATTAGCAGATGTCAAAACAGGAAAACATAGAACAAATCACACCAAACTAAATATTCCAATCATCACAATGAACTTATTATAAATATTTTAAAATTTGAATGAACTTGTAGAGTCCTAAAAAATGGGAAAAAGGGTGACCAGAAGGATTGTAAGCAACAAACAAAAAAAAGAAGGTAAAATAACAACATGCTTCTCAAAACTTCTTAAAGGAAAATCAATTGCAACTAAGCACACTTAAGTTTAATAGAAGAACCATAACAGAATGAAGAAATCATGATCACAAAGAGGCAGAAAGAACACAATACAATTGGAGTATGAGTATATAGCAGTAACACTTGACACGATAAAGTACTAAGCTAAATAACAAGTGATTCCATTTATTTAAAAATAGAAAAAACAAGATGTCAAAATAAGAATGCGACTATGCCACATAAGTTTAGCCATATCAGTTGATCTTGAAACTTAAACCTATGTGAATAACAACTTTGAGCAAAAATACTCTCGAATGCAACACACCTGATGCTCAAACACGGCAAAGATGAAATTATACAGATTCAACAACATTCACGAAGCGGTTTCGAAAAAGAAGGCAATAAAGCAAAACTCAAATACAATAGCAGAGAAACTCCACTGCTAAATGCAGGACGATAAAAAACTTGAATTAACACTAAAGTTAACTCATAAGATCACCTACACACGTATATATCATATTAGAATGATCACAGACTCAAGCACAAAATAACAAATCAGCCCCACAATAGAGATTCTCTTAACACCAAAAGGTGGGAATAAGAGTGGAGATGAAGATGGTATATTTGAGAGAGAAGTATTAGCTGCTTTCGGACGGCGAACGAGAACCACCAGCAAAGAAAGCGACTCCACACACTAAATGAGCTCTAATGAACTCCGATAAAGCTTCAAAGGAAGCTTATGAAGAGATAGTCCTAAAAAAATGTTGGCTATTGGAATAGTATTTTTTTTTTCTTCCATTTCGAGTTCAATTCTCTATTTTTCTCACCCTTCTTCTAACGTTTTTTCCTCCAACCCCTTATCAGTAAAGACAATCGGGTATTTATAGAGAAAATATTAGATAAAAAGGGGGGGGGGAACAGGATGGATTTTGGATGAAATTCAAAATTTGAATTCTTTTAGGATATGGTTGTCAGCTTGAATAGTACAATTCTACAACGGATTTGAATGACTGGCCGCTCGATTAGAAGCCAAGGACGAACGAGATAGGAGATTTTGACACCTGGAAAATTCAGCAACGGTTCTTGTACGGAGAGAGCACGTCGAGAGGAGAGAGGTAGAGGGACGCAAGAACTGGGTCGGGTCGCTGCTGGATTTGCTGGTTTGATTTCTCTCTGGGAGGAAGAAGAATAGTACGGGGTTCGGGTCGGTATTGTTTGTTGTATGTATTTGATGTTGTATTGTTATTTTTGATGGGCTGGGTTATGGAATAAAGAGAAGTGGGCTGCTAGGGGTTGGAATTTTAATTAAGAATAATAGGCAGCTGATTGCTGGGAGAACATGGCCCAAGAATGGTCTTGTCCCAAATGGTTTGGTAGTGAAGATTTGTAATAGAAAGGATTAGATTTGCAAATACAAAATGGCTAAATGGAAATTATAGCCATATAGAATTCACAATATAGCCGAATTGAATTTAATTTGCCAATTCGGCTAAAATCTAAGATGAATTTAAATAAAATTAATTAAGGAGCTTCTTAAACTTAACGAAATGAAATAATTAACTTAATAATTATTAAACGAATGATTTAAAAATATAAACTATTATATAACTAAACTAATTAACCAAATATTTAATCCAAAGAGTAAAGACATAAAGACACAATCAAAGTTGTCCCGTATTTGCATAAAGACACCTTAACTTTCAAAGTGTCCTATCACCCCACAAAACTATTTAATATCGTTTTAAATGGGCCATTTTGACCCATTCCCTCGTCTATGTAGTGGCGCGTGTTGCTCACTCCTTGTGATAGAATTCGACCCGACCCGACCCTGTTCTTTGAAGAAAAGTCGTTTCTCCTTTTCTTTTCTTATTTCTCAACTTTCCCTAAAATATGAAGAAATAGAAATGATTTCTCATCGTGTTGGTGTTGATAATCTCGTTGTTTATGTGTCTTGGCGAAGATTCTTGGAGATTGAAGGTCTAACATGTTAGGGCTTTACATCATATGACAAGGATCTTCTCTTTTTTCAATTATTATGATTTTAGGGATTATTATAGAGTAAAAGTGTTGGAATCGACCTCCTATAGTTGCCATTGTTAGGATATTCTTAGGATATTATAGTTTTTCGTTGTTACTGTTAGGGTTAGGGTGTTGTGTAATCGACTTAGTGCGACTGTTAGTGATTAGGGTTTTGTGTTATCGACTTAGTGCGACTATTAGTGATTGTGTTTTAGTTTAGGGTTTGATGTAATCCAGTTAGTTCGAATCTTATTATTTGTCTCTTATGCATTTGTAAACTTCAAGTTGTACATTATCGACTGCTACTATTAGTGCTTTTGTTCTATTAGTGATGGGGCTAAATGTTAGTATTGTTAGTCTCTTATACATTCGTTGTTACTGTTAGGGCTAAATGTTAGTGTTGGGGTTTATACATTTGTAGACTTCAATTTGTACATTATACATTTGTAAACAGTCTTTTGTTCTGTTGGTGATGGGGCTAAATGTTAGTGCTACTGCTACTGTTGCTTGTTAGAGTTTGTTCTTGAAATGTGTGTTTGAATTGTGTTTGTCTTTGTTACATGCTTTTTCAGGATGGCTTTTACTCTGATAATTCTAAGATGGTATCATGGGGGTAATAGAATTTGGTCCCCTACCTAAATATATTGGGGGGCATGTGACAGAATTCCTAGATGTAGATGTTGATAGGATGTCTTATTTTGAGTTGAGGGACTACATAAAAGAACTAGGATATACAGTAGATTGTGATTTTTCATCAAGTGGGATGGGTTATTGGTCCTTGTTGATAATGATAAGGTTATATTTGACCTTTTCAATATGATAAATGACGGGGATACAGTGGAGATGTATGTTTTTCATGGGGTTAGTGAAGTCAATCAGACCCCACTTGAATTGGAGTTTGTCCCCAATGTGAGTGATAGTGGGATAGGTGAGGGATCTTTTAATGAGGCTTCTAACCCTAATAATCAGCCTCCTACTTCTACTTTTCCTTCCATCCCTACAACTGGTCCTTCTGAAACTTCCAGTACTCCATTTGAAGACCAGTCTACTACTGTGCCTCCACCATCTCCTTCTACTGTGCCTTCTTCTTCCACTGTACCTCCTCCTTCCACTGTGCCTCCACCCTCTCCTTCTACTGTGCTTCCTCCTATCTCTGTACCTTCATCTGATCCTATAATAGATAATGATCCAACTGATGATGAAGTAGAAGATGAATCAAGATCTGAAGGGGATACTAATGAAGATACTAAGGTTGACAGTGATGTCCAGCAAGAGTATATAGATATAAGGGCATCTAAGAGGCATTTCAAAAGGTCACAAAAGAGAAGTAGAGGTACTAATTCAGATCAAATTAATGTTGATGAAAAAGGTCCAGATATAGGGTATGATGAGACATATATTGGTATTAAGGAAAGCTTAGTTGGTAAGCTAGGAGGTGATGAACCTTACTATCTAAGTGATGAATCTTCTAGATTTGAAATAGATGATGAAACAGGTTGGGGAGATGGTGAAGAGGTTGATCAAGTAGTGCATAAACCTGTTAGGAGAAAGAAAACCCCAAATAGAGTTGTGTTTGATGCAACTTCTGAAAAGATTGTTTGGGAATTAGGACTGGTTTTTGGAACTATTGAAGAATTTAGAGTGGTAGTGACAAGATATGCAGTCCAAGAACACATTCAAATTGAAAAAATATGTGAATGAGCCTGGCAGAGTTAGAGTGAGATGTTGTAAAGAGACTTGTCCTTGGTTGTTGTGTGCAAGTAAGGATAAAACTAGTGGAGATGTCATTGTTAAACATACAACCCTGTCCATAAATGTTTGACATCAACTCATAACTATCTTTGCAACTCAAAGTTTTTGGCCACCAAATACAAAGAAAGAATAACTCAACAGCCAAACATCAGCATTGTGTTGTTGAAGGACATTATTAGAAGGAGTTGGATATTAATGTTGGTAGGACAACAGTGAGAAGAGCTAGGACTAGAGTGTTACAAGAGATCATGGGTGATCACATTGTGGAGTATGGTAAGATTTTTTATTATAAAGATGAAATTTTAAGGAGTAATCCAGGTAGTACTTGTGTAGTGAAGGTTGTAGAAGAAGATGAAACTGGGCAGAATTTTTTTTGAAGGATTTTTATGTTTGCTTCAATGCTTTAAAGAAAGCAATTTTTGAAGGTGCTAGGAGGTTGATTGGTTTTGATGGGAGTTTTCTCAAAGGTGTGTGTAAAGGCCAGTTGTTAGTGGCAGTTTGTAGAGATGGAAACAACCAAATGCTGCCTATTGCTTGGGAAGTTGTTGAGGTTGAGAATCAGTTTACCTAGACATGGTTTCTTGAACTAGTGAAGAATGATCTTGACCTTGGAGAAGGGCATCAACTATCCATCATTACTGATATGCAAAAGGTAATTATCTTACTGATCTTACTGTTTTATTGTTGTTGAGTTTTGCATTTTAATTATTCTTTTTCTGTTATGTTGGTTTGTTAGGGACTAGAAATTGCTGTTGAAAATGTATTGCCACTGGTTGAACACAGAAAATGTGCAAGACATGTTCTTGCAAATTGGTGTAAAAACTGGAAAGGAGTTGAAAGAAGAAGAGTGTTTTGGAGGATTGCTAAATCCACATTTGAAGCTGAGATGAAGGATAATATACAGGCAATGAAGAAATTAGGACAAGAATGTTTGGATGATCTTTTATGGTACAACTTGAATACATGGTGCAAGAAGTATTTTCAAGACTATAGCAAATGTGATGTTGTGGACAACAATATGGCAGAAAGCTTTAATACTTGGATACTGCTTGCAAGGTATAAAACAATAATCACAATGCTTGAGGAGATAAGGGTGAAGATGATGAAAAGAATTGGTGATTTGAGAGAGTTCTCAAACACTTGGATCACTGATATATCTCCTATGTCTTTGAAGATTTTGCAAGAAAATATTGAAAAGTCTATGCAATGTAACTTGACTTGGAATGGAGAAAGAGGTTTTGAGATTAAACATCATGGATTTACACATACTGTGGACATTGTTAGTAGGAGTTGTAGTTGCAGATCCTGGCAGCTCAGGGGCATTCCTTGTCCTCATGGTGTTGCTGCCCTTCATTACAAGGAGTTGGAACCAATCCATTATGTGGCTAGTTGTTATAGCAAGGAAACGTACCTCAGCACATATGCCCATTTTATTCAGCCAATGAATAACATGAAAATGTGGCCAACATCAAATAATCCAATTGTAAAGCCACCAAAGATCAAGAAGTTGCCTGGAAGACCAGGTAAGGTTAGAAGAAATGGGGCAGATGAAAGCTGAAAAATTGGAAAGCTTAGCAAAAGAGGTGTTATTATGACTTGTAGCAACTGTGGTACACAAAGGCACAATAAAAGAGGATGTCCTACAAGAAACCAGGCTGGTCCAAGTCAATCAACTGCACCATTTTCTTAGGCACATGTACTTTTATTTGTTACTTTCAAATGTAAGTTATATGTACATATATTGATATATTAATATACAGGCTACTGAAAGTGGTAGAGGAAGAGGCGCAGGAAGAGTAGCAGGAGGCAGAGCAAGGGCTAGTAGTTCAACTCAACCACCTAGAGCCTCTTCACAGGCCACCACAAATAATGAAAGAGGAAGAGGCACATGAAGAGTTTCAAGTTCTATAGGTGTTCCAACTCAATCACATGGAACTGCTACAAACACAGAGGTAATATATCTAATTATTATATCATTTTTAGATAACATAGATATGCTTTAATATTTTGGTTTTCAAAGTACAGACTGTAAATGGTAGAGGGAGAGGTAGAGGTAGAGGTAGAGGTACAGGATCAGGAACAGGTAGAGGAAGAGGAATACCTCAAGAAAGAAATGTGAATGAAGGACTTGGTAGAGGAAGAGGAATGACTCAACATAGTCAAACTAGTTCTGAAGCAACCTGCAGTAGAAGAGGCCTAGAAAGAGGGAAGAGACCAGTAGAACATGAGGACACTAGTGGAGGACAAACAAGACCTTTTAAAAGTCCAAGAATGGTAGGTGCTGGCATATACCAAGCTGAAGATGGATTTACAACTCTCAATGTAAGTTTACAATTTTCAATGCAAACCTAAATATCTTATATTTGAATGTGTATTTATCTGACTAAGCAGCCTGGATTGCCAAGTAGAAGAGTCATCAATACTGGTACAAGAGTGACAAAGAGGGCTGATGTTGTTACTGGTGATATTGGCTACATACTAGTACGTGGATTCAAATGGAAGGGGAAGACAACTATTACCAGTAGCAACCTAGAAAGAATGAGGGCTGAAAAGAACTAGGTCTGCAGCTGCTGCTACTGCTAATAGCCAAAGCCAAACAACTTTAAGTAGGAAGACTTATGTGCCATGGAAGTAGGGCATTTTGATGTTGTCTTGTTCATTTTGAAAAACAAAATTTTAATTATGTATATTTTGGTACTGTTTTTGGTTGAAATCAAACTCAATTTTGCGTGTAACCAAACAAAACTTGAATGATTATGTTGAAATGAAGTCATCTTTTTGATCAGGTTTGTTGTTGCCTTTTTATTTGTAGTTGAACATATTTTTGAAGTTTCTCAAAATGGTTGCCACAATAATATAGACAAGAGAACCAAATACATTAACAACTTGTTCAAATCATAACTATTTCAACAACAAAGACCAACAATAACTTGAGCATTCAACAACTTCCATCCTTCAAGTTACACACACCTACAACTAGCAAGATCAAGACAATTAGCTTAGCTTCTAGTTACACACCTACAACTTCAAAAACTTGAAAGTAACTAAAGATGTCTATGGCAATTTTGGTGCACACACCTACAACTTCCATCCTTCACATTTTTGGTTAGACTTAAAAATAGAAAACACACAATAATAATCAAGACAATTAGCTTCAAGTTACAACATTTTGCTCTTCTTTTTCTCCTTTGTCACGACTTGGTTACTTTCAACACGACTTTCATAAGATGTCCAATACTTCTTCCAACTCCTTAATTCTCTTTGCTAATCTCGGAATTACGTACTTGGATCGTATATCAACATCTTCACGATCCCTCCATCTAAAGAAGTTGCACACATCCTCCTAAAATACGCAAAAAACAAATTAAAGAAAAATACATAAACAAAAGATCTCCATAAAAGAATTAGGAAACATACACGATAGAGTGGACAAGACCAAAATCTTCGAGCTGGATTATGCTTCGACCATGAAGTTTGCATTGATAGTAAGTCACCATGTTTGCATCGCAATTTCACTCGCAACATCGGATCATTCTCATCATTACAAATACGATTCAACATTGCATTTGACATTTTCAATACAAAACCTAATCACAAAATTCAGAAGAAACTAAACCATAAAAAACTTTAAATTAACATTTTATACTGGAAATTAAAAGATAAAACGAATTCCTACCTTATTTTCTTGGGAAAAATGATGAAGTCGTCAAACAGAGAGAACCAACGTTGATCTTGCTATGGAAAAAACCATGAAATCGAAAAATTAGAGCTACCAATGGCTATTTTGGGTTTAAAATTGGGGAAAATGACATAAATTGAATAAATAATTAATAATAAAGAAAGAAAATGACACGTGGCACTTTTAAACTGGTCCATGGCAGTGAAAACACTGAATGACGCACCTCATGTGCGTGGTAACAACCCAGACGAGGGAATGGGTCAAAATGGCCCATTTACAATGATATTAAATAGTTTTGTGGGGTGATAGGACACTTTGAAAGTTAAGGTGTCTTTATGCAAATACGGGACAACTTTAATTGTGTCTTTATGTCTTTTCTCTAATCCAAATAAAATCTTTTGAGATAATTTTCGAATATTTATAAAATATGCTAATTATATAAAAAAAAAAAATAATAATAAATAAATATATATATATATTATTTAAAAAATTCCAAAAAAGTGACAAAATTTACATTAAAAACTAACTTGAAAAATAATTTTGAAATTTTTTATAAAAGTCAATTATTTCAAATAGTTTGGAATTTTAAGAAGCTTGATGATTAATTTATATTGTGGAGGTCCAAAATTGGGTGTCAACAGATATATTTGGTTCAATAGGCTTCAATGAGGCTGACAACAAATGGATAGGCTCAAATGGTGCAAAAATGGTTGTGCACCCTCACAAGGTAGTCACAAAAGGTATGAAGGTTTGGGTTCCCTCTCAAAATTTGTGCCCAAGATCATCTCTTGCATTCACCAAAGCTAAACAATTAGACTAACTAGACAAATTTTAGGATTCTACAAACATGCTTTCAAGTAGGATCTCACCACACACGGTACTTCAAACACAATCGTTTTACACAACTCTACAAAATTAAGAAGCTTGTATGTAGTGTTTATTGCAAGACTCACATCAATACGCAACTAGTAAACACGATTCTAAAAGATCATTCAAAAGTAAAGCAACACATATTTCTTCTTGCAACACCAACACCAACACGTTTCTCATCAAGAGCACTATCCAAGACATCAATATTAGACAAGATCGATCCTCAAATATCAATAATGAAGCACAAGCTCATCAATCATTTCATCTATCCAAAAATCTTGGGGAAATTTATAAAGAGGCGAAAATGGTCAAAATTCAAAAACCAAATGTAATAAAAAAACATAATGTTGAAGTATCAAAATACAACCCAAATAACAAAATACAAATCAGAAAGGGGAATACGCACATATGTCCTCACCCCACCAAAAAGAATAGCAATGTCCTCAATGCTAAAGTAAAATACGGGAATGAAATGGGTGAAAAGTCCCTTTATCACGCTATGCTTGTGAAGAACTCTAGTCCTGTGGATCGGTGGGAGTAGCAACAACTTGGGCATTAGGACCTGTCACATCTAGAGGAGGAGTCAAGATTGTGGTATCAATTGGGGCATCAGTGCCCGACACATTGGGAGGACGATGAGTGGAATATGAAGAACAAACCTCACTAGTGCCAATCTCGGAGGTCTCTAGACGAGATCTCTCCAAACTAACATGCACAATTGACTCCTCCATACTCTGTAGCTCGGCTAACGCCTTTGCATTCACCTGCTTATCATCCCACATAAACTTATCCTCGTCGGTCTCAATATTGGAATCCTCATCTGCCTACTCTCCCACCTGCTCAGATCCATCAACAACTGACAGCCCAGCTGTTCCTGAAGGTACATCTCCTTTGGTCTCAGTCGGAGGCATAACTGCGGCCATCTCGGGCAATGGTACATCACTCCATAACATCAAAATATCCATGGATTTCAATAGATCCGATCCACGTCTACCCTCAAGGTAGCTATCTCACCTCATAACTCTACCATCTCAGCATAACCACCCTTACTATTCTCACGCTCCTCAACTCGAGCGGTAAGGTTATCAAGTCTCTCCCATAAGAATTCAACAATGATCTATAAATCACAAGCTCAGCTCGTAGGGTAGACATCAATGGCGGCAAAAATCATCCTAGGCACCTCCCTTTCAATGCGACGTGCCCTAACATCCATAGAATGGGGAAGCTTGCCCATCTAATATACCAAGGCATGTGCCAACGGAGACCGGAATGTAGGGGGAGGTGCAACATGGGTAGGGGAGCAACATACCCAGAAGGTATAGACAGAGTGGGAGCGATACCTGAAGGCTCTACAGTAGGAGCGAGATGAGCAATGTCTGACTCTAGGGTAGTAGGGTCCACTACCGGCGTGGTGTCAGGTGGTTCCTTCTAGCTGCGTCATCTCTCAAATTATCGGCCTCAATCCTCTGGATGTCATTGGACGAGGCAGGAATCACTCTCACATTTGTCTTTTCTATGAACGGAACTCCAGCTGCCTCACACAATTGGTGATCGAAACGGGGAAGAGCAATGAAGTTTGCTCCTTCTTAGCCCACATGAGCATTTCTTATTTAATGATTTGACCCACATGCAACTCTTCTCGGTCTACGATTATCCCAAACAATACTGATTTTGGGTGCCGGATGATCAATTCATTTTATTATGGCATGAGGTTGATACTAATGAATCCGAACAAAAGATGGGCCACCACATTCATATCTTTCTTTTCAATTTGTTTACCCCATCAACCAACCACGGGGAAGTAATATCATAAATCAAGGGTGCCAGCCATTCTTTCAAGTCATCCAACTTGTGCTTCATTCATAGCTTATATATCTCCTCCCTGTTACCTTTCATGCTCAGAACTCTATTGATTGCTACTCAGTCACACTTCACCATGATGGCGGAGAGCGTTTTACCTGACATATTTTAATTTTCCAAAAGTCGGGTTCTTCCCCATTTTTCATTTT